TTGTGCAGGAGGCAGCCAATTGATGTTTCTCTCTTATTGATGTTTCTATCTCTCTCTCTCTCCCTTCTCTAAAAATCATAGGTCAATGCTTAACTACTGAGTCACACCAGCTGGGCAATTTGTTTGTTAGGTATCAGTAGATAATATGCTGGGATACAGTACAGGTAGAAGGATGAGTTAGTTTGGAGAAGTATACCCCTGTAATAACGAAAAAGATGGGTGCTGTAAGAGTTAGACCTAGAAATGGAAAAAAGAAGGAGCTAAGTTTGATGACCAGTATTTTCTCTAGAGTGTAACAGGCAAAGCCATTGGCTGAAAGTGGTGGTGGGAAGTAGAGACTATAAAGTTGAGAACAATAAAAAGGGTGCAAGGGTAACCAGGCAAATCTGAATAAGCCAAATAGGAATGAATGCCTGGGTTAAGAAATCATACATCTGCAGCAGAGTCAGTTGGCATATTTATGTGATTTTCTATCACTACGCACAATACTCTTAAAATAAACAGAGTAAGAGGTAGTGGGTTTCACTTGACTTTGGAATTTGTGAAGCAAGACAGTGGACAACAGTGGGGTCAAGGGAACCCTGGGTGATAATTTAGGCTACTAAAATGACTGACTATGGAGTCAAAGCTGGTAGACATGAAAATGAGTCTAGAAACTCTAGCCTGAAAGAATAAGAGGTTGAGTGCAAAATCAACATTTAGGGAAGCAGGATGGTTATAGAAGCCAAAAGCAGTAAATTAGAAACCAGAAGTCCCACGTCATGGTCACAGCTCACTACTGACAAGCTGTGATAAAATTTTCAGGGCTTGTTTCCCCCCTTACTCTAAAACACTAAGAACAGTGGCTTACCTATAGTAAACACTGTATAACAATTTTACTAGTAGCAATTACTCCTGACTGTTTTAAAATTATACAGTATTTGATACATACATAAGCAGCATAAGATAAACACTGAGAAATTCATCACCCAACTTAATAAACAGAATACTACTAATACTCTGTATTTTTTTCCCTCATCCCATCCCCCCTACTTCTCCCCCAGAGATAACCACTATCTTGAATTTTGTGTTTATCATTCTCATTCCTTTATTAAAAGACTAGAGGCCTGGTGTACAAAATTCATGCATGGGTGGGGGGTGTCCCTCAGCCTGGCCTGCACCCTCTCCAATCTGGGACCACTTGGGGGATGTCTGACTGCCTCTTGCAATCTGGCACCACTGGCTCCTAACCGCTTGCCAGTCTGCCTGCCTGCCTGCCTGATCGCCCCTAACTGCTCCCCTGATGGCCTGATTGCCCCTAACTGCCTCTGCCTCGCCCTGCACCCGGGACCCAGGATTCTCTCCTCTGGCCGGTTGCAGGCACCCAGGACCCGGGCAGGCTTCCCCTGGGGCTGGCTGCAGCCGCAGGGGACTGTGGGCAGGCAGCTTCGCCTGGGCTGCAGCCGCAGGTGCCCGGACTGCGGGATAGGTGGCTTGTCCTCCTCCAGGGCCACAGCCTGGCTGGTCCCCATTCCTCTCTCACAAGCTCATTTGTGCCTGGCTGGTCCCCATTCCTCTCTCACAAGCTCATTTGTGCCTGGCTGGTCCCCATTCCTCTCTCCCCAGTGTTGAGTGTCTGAGCCATTAAGGCGTGAGGATGTGATGACCATTTGCATATTAGCTCTTTATTATATAGGATGACATGTGGCACATTTTCTCAGGGCCTGTTTCTTCATATGTAAGATGAAGTTTTGGATTCGGTGTTCTCTAAGCTCCCTCCAGTTTTAAGAATATATGAGATATGATAGGTGGATGTCAGAGTTACATACCTAGTGGAACCATATCAATGCTTATTTTTCAAGGTTTTGTAAAGTTAAAACACTGATTCTTCCGTTGAAATCGCCAATTCAACAAAAGGATATCTCAGTGGAGCTTCTAAGCTCAAGATCAAGACTTCCCATCACTTTCAATTTGCACCTCTGCTGCAAAGTTCCACTCCAGAGAAAACCAACACAAAGACCTAAATAACCCCGTCCACTGAAAATCTGAACTCCAAGCCCGAGGAAATAAAACCCAATCAGACAAACCAGGAAAGCACACTTTATTTCAGTATTTTAATAACAATTAAGAGGCATGGTTGGATTCATACTCAGCTTTTCATATAAACTGGACTTATTTCCTTTCTTTATGTGTGTGTGTGTGTGTGTGTGTGTATAACAAAGTAAAATACTAAACTTATCTTCACATTTCCTCAAAGGTTCTTAACACTATTTTAGTTTCATATAAAACAGTCTTTAATTAAGATAAACACAAAAGCAAACCTTCTGACCATATGGTTGTTATTACGGTTACTGTTCGCCTAGGATGCTGTTCTTCCTATTTATATACAATCTTAGATTTTATATGTCTCACCAGTTACTAAGTTTATAAAACTGAGCTGCACCAGGCAGTAGAATGGCTATGTACAGGGCTAATCCCCTGTTCACACACAAGTGTGCATTCTTCAGACTGCTATAGCTGGAACAAAGTTGGCTGAGACTGTTGTTATAACAGGTTAATGTCTCTAGTGGCCTCTGAAAAGGCCATGACTGTAAAGTAGGATATGAAAATGTTCCAAAGCTTAACAGTACCAGGAAGATAGTGATCAAAGGAATGAGCCGTCACTACAGTATTTTTCTCCTGGAATTTAGGTAGTTTTCCTTATTCTACCCCTTGTATTGATACAAGAAATGAATGTTTTCTCAGAGGTCTTTTCTTCGCAAGGCCAGTCCTGCTTTGATCATTTAAATTATAGTATACAAATCAACTTGATATTTATATCCTGCATCTTTAAAAAAGGTAATAAGTATAATGTTATCTCCTTGGTTTCTGCCTACTTTTGAGCTTAATGTGAATTGTGAAAAGTACAAGTAAAGGAGTCTAAGAATGCCAATATAGATACACACATTTTGTCTAAGAGACTAACACAAGCAGCTACTGTTCTCCCTCACCAATGAAAGGGTACTGCGATGCATTATTTGAAATTAAATCTGCATACTTTCCTTGTTTAGCTCAGGTACAACTACCAGGAGAGCTAAAGGTCCTTTATTACTTACATTTGTTTATTCCTGGTAATAACATTTGCAAATCACAATGGCACTTCTAGAACCCCTATAGAGAAAGGCAATTTTTCAAAAAGCAAATCCTCTCTTTGGGGTAGAATCTGGAAGTCCTACATAAGATCAAAATGTAGGACTCAGAGGCTCTGGACTAAGGTTTCAAAACACCTCTGTATTTAACCATAACACCTGACTGTAACCGAAATTAAGGTAGAGTATTCAATTCTTTATCTTCCACTGTTCACATTCCAAAGGGAGGGTATCATCCCCAAAAGAGAGTCTCAAAGATTAGTAAACGTCTCCTCCCAATATCTGACAGAAGTAGTAAATAGTCACTTTTGTTCTAGTTTTTGAGAATCTCTAAAAATCTCCAGGAAATAAAGTCCAGACTAGTGAATCCTAGGCCCAATAAGAATCCCAGGCAGTCTCTGAAAGCTCCTGGATCAGACAAATTGGTTGCTTTAATCATTAGTTTACCAAAGAAACAACAGGATTGTCTATTTTTGAGCTAATAACACAGGCAGCCAGTGATTCTCCCATGTGAGTGTTATACTCCAAAGGGTCAGATGTATTGTGATTAAATTCTAGTAGTCATGAGCAAAGAGCTGTTTTCCTAAAATAACAAAATCAGTGTTTTCATTTGCTTTTCATAAATGTTAGATGTTAGCCTATCACCTCTTTAAATATTAAATAAAAACACAAAGTAACTACTTTCTGTTTAATTCTTTGCAATGAGACTCATGTCCCTGCTTGTTTCTCCTAAACTAGGTGGGAGTTCTGGGTTACAAGTATAGAAGATGATAGTTTTGTTCTGTCATCACCTGAACAGATGAAATCAAAAGGGTTTTGCATTTTCCAGTAATAAGACTATTTTTAAATAAAGTGTTTGTGAGGTATTGATTGATACACAAACATAAGTGACCAGGATTGGGGCATAAAGGGTGTTTTCCCCCCTCCTCAGTATATTCACTACCCTCTCAGGAGAAAGGGCCTAGTTATTCACTTAAGATCATGCAGCTAAGCAAACTACTACTGTACTGGGGCTTATCTTGAACCTGTTTTTAGAGTTTGGAACTAAAGAAACAGACAGCTCTGCTTCATCAGGGAAGAATTTTGAGTAAAACTGGTGGGAGAAGGCCTGCTTCCCCTTATCTGTTACTCTGCTAGAGAGATCCCTTTTGGGATTGTCAGTATGCTTCATCCAAGTCCCTATCTATACCAGATCACAAACCCCTCCCATGCCAGACAGTTTTAAAACCAAACCAAGTCAAACTTGAAAACAACCACACAAAAACAATCCAAACAATCTCTGGGGAGACTTTGAAGTCTCCTTGTAAGGGCCAACAAGATGCTAAGATATCCAGAGCTTTGGATGTTTCAAAATCTAACTTATTACACATACATCCCAGGTAGTCAGCAGGGCCCTCACACATTTCAACTTTGAAACTTAAATTTCACACACAGGTGGAAAGCCTCTCTCTCTTCTCCACATGTACACTTGTTCCTCCCCTCCATTCCAATCTTCACTCCTATATAATCTATATCTAGTCTGACAACTAGTACAACGTCTAGCTGTAATGTAGGAGAGATAAATACAAGAAACCTCCCTTAGGTTGGAAATATTTAGACAGACAATGTCCTCAAGTTTCTAACAAGAATGGGGCATTTTGCCCTATAAATGCTATCAATATCTGGTGACCATGGATAAACAGATGCACTGATCAAATGGGTCCATTCATACTAATGGGAAAAAGAATTTGGTCCATATATGTCAGAGAACACAAATACTCAGTTACTTTTCCAACCCAAGTTTCTTGCCTGCATTTGATGGCTTCTTTAAGATTCTTTAAATAATTATGTTTCATTAATGTGGAATGGGATGTGCTTTCTGATCTTGGGGCTCAGGGACTGGACCAAACTATCAAGCTATCTACATCAATGGTTTATGTGAAATAGTTTTAAAACTATGCGGACTCTTTCTTGCATCAAATGAGGACTCAAAAGGGGGGAGAGAAAAAAAAGGCATCTGTCAGTTTGAAAGTCACAGACAGTTTATCTTTCTATAATTAGATTAGGAGAAAAATGAAGAACCCACTGATAGCAGGAAGAAGCAAGAGTCTTCTAGGTTCAGTCATCTGTAAGGAAATGAGAAAAAATATTTTTTAGTTCCTTTCAGTGACAAAGGCAACAACTGCATATGACAACAGGCCACACAACTACAACACAATTAAAATCTCTTGGTCGCTGGAGGAATCTGCTGTTTATGGCAGAGCACCAAGTACCTTCTGACCCTGAGCTCTTTAGTACCACTAAGCACAGAGAAACTTGTTAATTGACTTAAAAGCAATCTATGCAGAGATCAATGTACACTCCTGTGTCAACAGTTTTTTGACTCAGGAGAAAATCAGAATTGACTATCTAGGCAATTGACTCCTGCAGACAATTCTGGATTAATTCTAATTAACTTATATTGATCTTTTTTCTTTTTATTCACTCTACTACTATTTAATTTACCAATATTTTCTGAGCTATTACAATGTACATTAGGTGAACAAAAATTAGTATTACTTGCTTTTGAGGCACCTATCTATTAAAAAATGGAGTGGTTGATAAACACACAAATGGGATAAAGCATACTGACTACAAGGTAAACAAATCCTTTTCACTTCTGTGCATTCAAAAAATCTTTCCATCCATAATTAATTCCTTAAGGGAATAAGTCATGTCTTCTATTTCTTTTGTATCCTTCCAAAGAAGCTAGAGAATTCTGCAACAACAGGCATTAAAAAAATGATAAGAAGGTCTGTGGCTGTTTAAAGAGTCTGAACTAACATAGGATAATTTTTTTTTTCCTGATTCCTCAGGGGTTACACAGAAAAATAAATTTAGTTCCAAATGAGAGGTGTGTCTTTTCTTAAGTGATAGAACAGAAGTTTCTCCTAGGCTTTTGCCTTAAGAGTAGCCATTTTTTACTAGGTAACTATCCATACTAGAGCACCAAGTATTTTGTACAGTATGTAAGAGGATTTAAAGTTCATGATTTATCCAGATCTGTGTGCACTTTCCTGGCGCACCCTAGTGCTATTGTGTCTCTTCTCCTTCAGGGGCCAGATGTAATTTTATGCCTTCCTGATATATTTAACAATTTAATGTCAGAACCTATCAAGAAAAATGGCTGATACTGGAAGCAACTGATAGTTATAGTCCATAGCTAAGGAGTGTTTACTTTTAGAATCTCCTTTCTACTTCTCACCAGAAGAAACATCAGCTTTCATATAAAATGAGCCCTAACTCACAGAAGATCCATCTGATTCACTGTCCAGAGGAAGTGAATGAACTCAAAGGCAAGAGGCCACTCACTCATTCATTCACTTAATATTCACTGAGGACTTACTAGCTCAAGACGGTGGGGGATATAATCCCATCCCTAGCCTTTTTTAACATTCCTTTTGCCAGGGGCAAATGCAGCCAGGGCAGCATTTGAAGCACCAAACTTGGTTCTGCTATGGGTATAGCAACCTCGAGGAAAGGCTTCATCTGTGGAAAGTAAACTTTTTGCTCTCTTCATACAGATTTTTTGAAGTTCTGTTAAATCAAATATTCAGATAAGATCAACAGTGCAAGACTCTTAGAAACCCGAAACTTTTAAGTGCTCATTAAAAAGAGTCTGAATATTTTGATGTGTTAAACTGTACTGCACAGGGAAAGAACTGCAGAGCAGTGAAGCACAGCTGTCTGATTAATCTCAGCCCATTAAAGGGGTGTGAGAGATCTAGAATGCAATGCTGATAAAAAAAGAAAAAGAAAAAGGCAATGTGTAGTAACTCTAGGGAAAGCAACTTGGCGTGTTAACCGAATTCTAATTTAATCAGTATATGCCTATTCATTAGCGTGTAAAGCCATAACAGAAGCTATATACTTAAAAAACATAGGCACACACAAAGCTTTAATTTGGTACCATAATCTGAAAGAAAATTGGGCCCAAACTGCTTTATGTCCAGTTAAATCGTGCTACCATCTGAGAAGATAGTGAAATAAAACTGAAACACTTACTTGATGAGATATTCAGTTACTGTGCATTTCCATCTACAGAGTAGAAATATTTCAAAATAAATACACCATGTCAATTGAAATTCACTCCATCCTCTACTCTTAACTAAACACAAACAATTTATTCTGAAGTATATTGAATCACAATATAAAAGTAGAAGAATGCATTCATTCATTCATTCATTTATTTTTAAATTCTCACCCAAGGACATGTGCTTTTATTGATTATAGAGAGAGAGGAAGGAAGAGGGGGATGGGGGAGAAGAAGAAGAGAGGGAGGAGAGGGAGAAGGAGAGGGAGGGAGAGAGACATCAGTTGGTTGCCTCCCATATGCACCTGGACTGGGGATTGAACCTATAACCTGGATATGTGCCCTGACCGGAAATCGAACCCGAGACCCTTTGGTGCACAGGACGACACTCTAACCAACTGAGCCACACTGGTCAGGGCTAAAAGTAGAAGAATTTAAAATTAGTGATTGCATTCTACTCAAGTGCATGAAAAAAGAAGATAGTTCTTTACCTATCAAGCCTTCTGACATATGATTTGGTGATCTCATTTTTTGGGCAAGTATCCAAAGGGAAGTTTTTTTTAAAGGAAATCCTCTAGCCACCTGAAAATTAACTCAAACTGTGGCAAAGACCGAAACCAAGGGAATCTGAATTGGGAGGCAACATTAGAAAAATAAAGTTTATATTAAATATGACGGTTTTCTTGGGTGTTCCATATGTGGGAATTTCTTTACCAGGGTGGTATGATACAAATTTAGTATGTTTGCTCAGCATGGCCTCTGATGTCTAGGAAAGACATTTAAATACTATTTTAATGCTGATTCTTATGACTCATAACTTTCATGTTTTCTCTACACATTTCCTTTTAGGTCCCTGAAATCCAATTTCTAATCCCAATTCCCTATTGATCTTATGTCTTGAAAGTCAAAGATGACTTCCTCCTAACCAAAATCAATAGTCTTTTTTGTTGTTGTTAATCCTCACCTGAGAATATTTTTTCCATTGATTTTTTTAGAGAGAGTGGAAGGGAGGAAGTGAGGGGGAGGAGGTGTGGAGGAGAGAGAGAGAGAGAAAAAAAACACACCTCACATCGATGTGAGACATCATCTGGTTACCTTCTGCATGCACTCCAATCACGGCCAGGGATTGAACCTGCAACCCAGGTACATGCCCTTGACCAGGAAATGAACTTGCAACCCTTTGGTGCTCGGGCTGACACTCTAACCACTGACACACTGGTCAGGGCAATAGTCTTCTAAAAAATATGTTCTTACTTATTTTATTTTTTAAAATGTTTTTATTGATTTTAGAGAGAGAGAAAGGGAGAGGGAGAGATAGAAACACTGACGAGAGAGAAACATCAATATTGATCAGCTGCTTCTTGCACGCCCCCTGCTGGGGACTGAGCCTACAACCTGGGCATGGGTCCTGACCAGGAATTGGTGCATGGGTTGACACTCAACCACTGTGCCACAGGAGCCAGGCAGGGCAATAGTCTTTTTATTGCTCCCCAAATTTGCTCATGGTATTTGATGTCAGTGGTCACCCTATCTTGAAAATATTCTTTTGGTTTCTGTGATCTTGTACTTTCCCAATACTAACCAGAACCAGGACTAGGGTGAACTGAGTGAAGCCCTTAGGGCAGTGGTTCTCAACCTTCTGGCCCTTTAAATACAGTTCCTCTTGTTGTGACCCAACCATAAAATTATTTTTGTTGCCACTTCATAACTGTAATGTTGCTACTGTTATGAATCGTAATGTAAATATCTGATATGCAGGATGGTCTGCGACCCCTGTGAAAGGGTTGTTTGACCGCCAAAGGGGTCGCGACCCACAGGTTGAGAACTGCTGCCTTAGGGTGTAAAATTTAAGAGCTGCTCATTCTCAGAGTTGTGAGAGTGCAAGGTATTCAGACTAAACATGTCTTTGAATATAAAGACTAACTACATTTATTAGCACAAAGAAAATAATAAAAGCATTCTGTCTCATTACACTTACTGTTTTTCCATGGCAGAACATACGGCAGAGACTTGGGAACGCGCATGCCTGAAGCCAGGTTACTCTTATGTTCCATAACTATGTTGCTTGCAGGGCTGCAAAAAGAAAGATAAATCTGACTATGCCAGCATTCTTCAGGCAGGCACACACAAGACAATCAAAATGTGTTTTTTGTAATTTGGGGGAAAACAAAACAGACTACATTATGAAATGTAAACACATTTCCATCAAAACATTCTCGCAATTAGAATGATTACCATTTCTCTGGAAAGCTCACTGTTCTGTACAGGCATTAAGATGGGTCTAAGTATTTTCATTTCTTAGAAATTTATATAAACAGTAATGCCATCTACTGTTCAGTTGTATGACAAACACATCAATTCACTCAATAAACATGAGATAAAATAAAATGCCAAGACAATCGAACTAAAGGCAACAAATCTCAAAGAACTGAGGCAAAATTAAAATTGCCATAGAAGAATGCATTCTCACCCAAGGACATGTGCTTTTATTGAAATTCATTTTTAAGTTTTTCTATCTTAGTGCACACACAAAATAAGGTACAGTTACAATTACTAGCTGACCTCAGGAGCTAAGAAATAAAAATGGATAAGTATTCAATTGGGGGAAAAATGAAGTCTAACATCTCAGTCCTTTATTTTCTAATCCAGAAATATCCTCATTTGGATTTGAAATGTGATCTTCTAAGGTTTAAAGATAAAATAATGAGAAATCTTACAGACTTCAAAATTATATGCAAAATCAGTGGGAAGAAGAGATGCATTTTTCCCCCTACCCAACAGGTATTTTGGATTCCCTACTCTTAAACAAACAAACAACTTTTAAGATTATTTTTTCCTTAAACACTAGTTACCAAGAGTAAAAATGATCCACGTAGTATAGCTGGGGAATTTTTTTTTTTTTTTTTTTTTTTTTTATGTATAGGGCGTAATGTCACAGGAAGGCCATAGTATTCTGCCACCCGTGAGGAGTAAGCCCAAGTTGCTGTTGGATGTGTTGTACACAGAGAAGCCATTCTTCAGGCGCTCTGCTCTCTCCACACCCAAGCTGGGGAATTTTTTTAAAGCATTAAAATAATATGAACCTAGTGAAAAACTCAACTAAGACATAAGAATATCTGGCACCAGTGTCTCCTTTGCTAGACTCTAAGCTAGTATTTTTGTGTTCACACAGTGATTTATACACAGCATGTGACCTTTTTATGAATCAAGGAAGAAATAAGAAAAATAATCCACCAAAACAATATCTAGACTAAGTTACTACCAAGTAACGTCATCAAGGAAAGAGATCAATTCATGCTTTGGTGGCTTTTTTTGGTAACAAAGCTCTCTGATTTTGGGAGACAGTGCTGGGAATGAGACAATTTCATTTACCTGTTCTTGCCACAGTAGTTGGCTGTGCCCCAGACAAATGGGGTGCTAGTCTGTTCCCACAAATCTGCCAAAGGAAGCAAAACATAGTTTGTGGTATAAGACACCAGTTTATGCTAGTTGAATTTGTAAGATGGGAAATAATACACCTAAGTTTAGAGAAGGAAGTAAAAATTGATCAAGTACCCTGCTTAAGTGACACAGTAGCAGGAATTTAATTGAAGAATATAAACACAAACGACATAAATAATAATAAACGTGCCTAGAAACAGCAAAACACAGATGGCATAGCACAATTTATGGAAAAAAACAGATGTAAAGAAGTGCTTTTTCCAATCAAGAAGGAGAGGCTGTTCCACGTGTCTGCACAGCCATACAAATGTGCTCATTTTGGGGCCCAATAAAAATAACAAAGCATTCTGCAAAACATGGCATGTCTATAAAACAGGAAAATCTTCCTTCTGTCTAAAGCAAATGACTTGAGATTTAGATATTGTGCAGAAAAAGATGCAGAAGCACTTACCTTTATCCCAGTCTTCATCACAAGGAGGGCACTGCCATGTGCTCTCAACCAGAGTCTCTTGTCCAAGGTTCCTGGTTTGGTTGACTGTAAGACAATAGAGATTTTGACATGAGAACGGGACATTGCTAAGTTATGTTTAAAGGGGTTAGAGGCTAAAGAGGTTGCAGGGTAGCCCAATGGGTCTTTGTTTCTCAAAGATAAACAGAGTGGTCTTATCCCCTTGCTGACAGAGGACATGAAAGAAATAGCAGAAACAAAGATATTTATCATATCTGTGGCAAGAAAAGGATTTTTTTTAGCTAGATGAATTATTGGTAAAGTGAATCAGGTTGTTTAGAAGAGAAAGCATTTTAACAAACACAACCTGACAACCTTTTCCTGCTGAAAGTGTTCTTCAATATGGAAAGCCAAAAATCAAGGTGACAATGTAGCATAACACAAATTTAAAGGGGCTAACCCAGGGGTGGGCAAACTTTTTGACTCGAGGGCCACAATGGGTTCTTAAACTGGACCGGAGGGCCGGAACAAAAGCATGGATGGAGTGTTTGTGTGAACTAATATAAATTCAAAGTAAACATCATTACATAAAAGGGTACGGTCTTTTTTTTTTTTAGTTTTATTCATTTCAAACGGGCCGGATCCGGCCCGCGGGCCGTAGTTTGCCCACGGCTGGGCTAACCTCTAGTACCAAAACATTTCAGCTAGTCAGTCTTACCAATGTCTTGCTCTATACAACTTTTGTCATCACAGCTTGAAATATGATGACTGATTTCGGTCCGAGGAACCTGATGGCGAGCATTGAAGGGACAAGTAGCCAATTTGTTTGCGACATCAGGATGATTCTGTGGAACAAAAATTAAGGTGTCTATCAATTCTCTGAACCTCTTAAAAGTCCAAGGGGCATGGCTTAGCTTTATCTATAAATGGCTCCCCTAAAATCTCTCAATAAACTTGTAGCTTAGCTATGATAGATAAATTCATAGTAGAAAATTAAGAGGAATTTTTTTTATCATTCATACAGACCATATAATATCTCAAAATCATCAAAACATAAGCCTCTTTGTTATGACTATAGAGACTGACAACACAGATTTTGGGGTTAAAGCGGTTTATGTGGAGGTAAAGAGCAAATTTAGAATTGGGTATTTGAACATCTTCTCTCCCTGTTCTTCAGAGTCATGAGATTCAAGTGGCACAGCATGTAATGGTAGAGCTCTTTGGATGTCTTTGAAAGCTGATATTGAGGATATACAGTAATGCTAAAACACATTCCCAGTCTGCATTGCAGTAGTGGCCCTGTTATTGCAATACAATAGGGCTGGAAAATAATTGTTAGAAGGGAGCTGCAGAAGAAGCAAACCAGTGATTTTTCAGATTAACTTGGGAACACTTATTTAAAGTAATGATGCCTGAAATGAGGCTCTGAACAATTTGACCTTTATTTCAGTTATTTCACTAAGGAAAAGCCCAAATAATAGAGTCTACTCTGTTGACCAAGTTTCTTATTAAAACAAAACAAAGTATTTAATGTTACTCAAATCTTATGGTAATATACTAGCAATTAAGAAATTTACTTAATAGGAGAAGAAAAACATATATCATACAATACTAAAAAAAAAAGTAAAAATAATGTGAAATGGGGAGAAGGCTGGAAAAAAAAAATAGAGGGCGGAGAAAATTGTGAGGGCATTTGTCTCCATGATTTTTGTAAGGGATATCAGGTATTCCATTGCAAAGGTTTTGTGGCCAAAGATTTAGTGCATTAGAAGAGGACGTTGTGGTGGTATATTCAGATCCATACTGTCCATGTTCAACTTTAAGGGATCTTTGCTCAAAAGATTAAAAAGAGCTGGAGAAATAAAAATCGGCATTATAATCATATTTCCAGGACTACAAGAGAAACAGTCATGAAAGGATGTTAATACATATATAAATCGTATGCAGTTTGGATTAAGTACCAAAACTGTTTCCCAAGCATCAGTCCTGGCAGAACTTTGGCCTCTGTATCTGACATCAGCATTCTAACAATCTTTTCAAAGTGCCTCAGTTACTATACCAGCATTAAAGTAGTTTACATCAGCAAGTCTACAAAAGAATGACCAGAGAAGAAACACTAATAAGTTGTTTTTTATTTTCCCCCTCAAAGATGCTGTCGAAATTTGGAAAAAGAGTTAATTTTAGGAATAAGTTTTTCTTGGGCTAACCTCTAACTGTTCAACTTCTCTAAAATTTATAACCAAAAATATCGAAAATCAATGTATTATTGACTCAATACTTATCAGGACAATCCTTATCAGCATTAATTTCCCAAGGCAGAAGGGATTTTCTCATTGCTAGCAAAAATTAGTGTTTCCTCTTTTTACAAAGGGAGAAAAGACTCCAGAGAAGCTGTTTATCACTATGGGTGCTTATCACTAGTTTGAGGGGGGGGGGGGGGCGACGACAACAAAATAGGAAAAAACTGATGTACCCAAGAAGTAAACTCCTTTCTATAAATGTTGGTATTTAATACAAAGGTAGATTCCCAAAACAATTCTGGAAATTCAATTTAACACGTTAAAATTATCTGATATTTACAGAATTTGTTTTTTTAAAAACAACTCAGAGGGTATCACACGGCAAATTATGAAAATAATACCCTACCTTTCTGCACTTGATAAGATGATAAGGAAACCTGCAGGCTCTGATCTGGTGGTTTTTATCATAGGGACATTGTAATAGCTTTTCAGGGTCCAGGGAATCGACTGAGAGAGAGAGAGAAATAGGATAAGTATAAAGCTTAATAGGTCTTTGGAAAACTACAGGATTACAGGCACAATGTATTGTCTTTCTTTTAAAGCATTTTATTTATTTTAAAAATATTTTTATTGATTTCAGAGAGGAAGGGAAAGGGAGATAGAAACAGCAATGATGAGAGAGAATCATTGATTGGCTGCCTCCTGCACGACCCCTACTGGGGATGGAGCCAGCAACCCATTCATGTGCCCTTGACCGGAATCAAACCTGGGACCTTTCAGACCACAGGCTGAACCAGCTAGGGCAGGCGCAATGTATTTTCTTTTCTTTTTTTTTTTAAAGCACAATGTATTTTCCAACAGAATCTGGAACAATAGAATAAGACAGTCTGAAAACAACTTGAAATTTAAATAAAAGTGTAATTAAACATTTGAAATGAACATTTAACTCTGATAAGATAAAACTGTGTTAAGTCCAGCAAAACCAGTGATCAAGGGATAAGGTCTTAGCTCATATTTGGTTGTATTTAAATATTGCTGTTTTCACCCAGCTGGCATGGCTCAGTGGTTGAGCATCAACCTATGAACCAGGAGGTCATTGTTCGATTCCTGGTCAGGACACATGCCCAGGTTGTGGGCTCAATCCCCAGTGTGGGGCATGCAGGAGGCAGCCAATCAATGATTCTCTCTCACTGATGTTTCAATTTCTCTTTCCCTCTGAAATAAATAAAAATATAAAAAAGAAAAAAAATATTGTTTTCATTGTTGGTCATCCTTACTATTAAACAAAAAGTTACATGACATGACATTCTCTTTTTCCTTTTCTAAAAGTGCTAATTCAGGGTCATTTATAGTCTAGCTAGCCAACCAGAGCCTCCCAACTAGTATGCTGAAGGTTGGAATGGATGGGGTGCCAATATTTCAATGTAGGTGTCCACACACATGAGTTCCCATACCTTAACAGTCCCAGGGCAAGTTGAGGATAGTTACTCCTGCTCAAAAGCATCCCTGTCTATTTGCTAGTATGCCATGACATGAAAAAAGCACTGCTCTATATCAGTGATATGTCCTATGGAAGATTGAGAAATATTCATTGATAGATGACTTCTTTTTCACCTGTCTGCTTTAATTCATTACTACTATAAGTAGTTCCTGATCTTGGTTACTCAAGTTACCTCTCAAACAAAACCAATACCTTTATTAGATAAGTAGTTTTACCTTTTGTATTCTAATACATGAAAAAAATCAGAATTTAGTGATTATCGAATTTGCCATATTAAAAAAACAGAATAATCTGCAAACACAGAGCCTCCTGAAGTTAAGACACCTGCAGACATATGAAGCTGCTATGTGAAAGAAAGCCCCTAACTTATATCATGCTAGTTAAAACTACCCTTAGAAGGCTATACTTTCAGGGACTATTTCCATAGTTTGGAATTGTGGAAATTTCTCTGAACATATCTCTCAGAGAAGTTCCTCTGAACATGTAACTACCCTTAGGCTTTACAAGATGCCCAGGCTGAGCCCCAAATTTTAATAGGCTGGTTAAGGAAGGGAAATTAAATGGTTAAGCACATTCTCAGTATATTATGAGGATGAGAAGCAACCTAATAAAATGCTTTTGCCCCCACTGAAGGCAATGATAAAAGTGAAATAAGATAAACAATTCACATTTGATAAAAGGCTTATAAACCAGGAGACTGCTATGAAAATCAGAAGCTAGTGGGGAATTGAAACAGACAGTTTCACTGAAGAGTGGTAAACATGGAATAAATCGCGAACCATGACCATGATGTAAATGAGCCAGAAAGGTGACGTGAAGGACAGAATGAATAGGAAGGAAAAATCTTAGAGGACAGGCAGGCTTATTATGCCAACCAGGCGTATCCTGACCAGCAATCTTTTCCTCTGAAGCTTCAGGATACCCAGGGAGAGTTCACAGATGAAATTCATATTAAATCCTTTCATTTAGTCCATTCCATCACTAGCAAATGTTAAGCCATGTCTGCAGCTGACAGAACTGGACATACCTTATGATTCATACACACTTTACTGCCCACACAGTGGCATACGTCAGACTTGATAATGATAGTTTTCTACCATAAACGCTTTACTTTTTGGTCTCTAGTAATTTAGGTTAGCTCTAACCTGTTTTTTTAGATTTAAAATTTTTATTTTCTTTTTAATTAAAAAATTTTAAATGGCTATAAAATATATACAACATAAAATTTGCCATCTTAACCATTTTTAAATGTACAGTTCAATAGAGTTAAGTATATTCATGTTGTTGTCAACCAATCTCCAGAATTTTTTTCATCTTGCAAGACTGAAACTCTATATCCATTAAACAACTCCCCATTCCCTCTTCCACCCAACCATGGCAAACACTCTTCTTTTTGTTTCTGAGTTTGACTAGTCTAGATACTTCATCATAGTATTTGTCTTTTTGTGACAGACTTATTTCACTTAGTATAATGTCCAAGTTTCCTCCATATTGTGGTGTGTGATGGGATTTCCTATACCCATTTTTGCTATTTGCTTAAAAAATTAAAAAAAAATTAATCCTCACCAGAGAATATGTTTATTTATTTTAGAGAGAAAGAAAGGGGAAGAGAGGGAGTGAGGGAGGATGAGAGAGGCAGCGAGAGACAGAGAAACATCCATTGGCTGTCTCCCACAGGAACCCCCAACCTAGGTATGTGTCCTGACTTGGAATTGAATCTGTAACCTTTTGGTGTATGGAACAACACTCTAATCAACTGAGCCACCCGGCTAGGGCTGCCTTTTTTTTTTTTACTTAACATATCTTTGTGCTCCTTCTATGTGAGTTCATATAAGGAATATTTCATTACTGGTGGCCTCCCGCGCACACACCCCAATTAGGGGAGGGGCTAGGAGTGAACCCGAAACCGAGGTACATGCCCTTGACTGGGAATCGAACCCATAACCCTTAAGTCTGAGGGCTGACACTCTAACCACTGAGTAAAACTGACCAGGGCTCATAGATTCTTAATAATTTCCCTTACAGATGGACATTTAGGTTGTTTCCAGTTTTTACTTTTATTTATTTATTTATTTTTTAAAAATATATTTTATTGATTTTTTACAGAGAGGAAGGGAGAGGGATAGAGAGTTAGAAACATTGATGAAAGAGAAACATCTATTCAGCTGCCTCCTGCACAGCCCCTACTGGGGATGTGCCCGCAACCAAGGTACAAGCCCTTGACCGAAATCGAACCTGGGACCCTTCAGTCTGCAGGCCGACGCTCTATCCACTGAGCCAAACCGGTCAGGGACAGTTTTTACTTTTATATACAAGTAGTCATGTAATGGAATATGTGCACGGGGGTGGAGGTGGGGAGGGGGGAGGTCCCTCAGCCCAGCCTGCATCCTCTCTAATCCAGGACCCCTCGGGGGATGTCCAACTGCCGGTTTAGACCCGATCACGCACTGGCAATCAGACATCCCTCTTGCAACCTGGGACCGCTGGCTCCTAACCCCTCACCTGCCTGACTGCCTGATTGCCCCTAACCACCTCTGCCTGCTGGCCTGATGCCCCTAACTGCTCCCCTGCCAGCCTGATCGCCCCCTAACGTCCCTCCCCTGCTGGACTGATCGCCCCCTAACTGCCTCAGCCCCCACCACCATGGCTTTGTCCGGAAGGATGTCCGGAAGATGTCAGGTCTAATTAGCATATTAACCTTTTATTACTATAGATGCTGTGACTAACAATCTAGTATATACTTCTTTGTGCATTGTATGAGTATTTGTGTTTGGCGGATACCTAAGAGTGCAATATTGATGTATATGCCTGGGCAAATAAATTATTCTAGGTTTTGTTTTCTCAGTGCAAAATTTGAGTGTTAAATAAAGTCATTTTCAGGTCTTTTTTGGTTCTACACTTGTGTGATTCTAGTGCTGGCTCCCTTTTGATTTCCTTGGCCATCTAAGAATCCTAGGTCACTTGAGAAATAAGAATATTCCCTAGGATTTCTTTAATCCTAAAAACTCAATCTACATCAACATTATGTATACCACATTACTCCTTAAAATAGAAAGAAAACACAGGTGTCCCAGTTGCAGCCTTTTCAAAGCTTGATGACTTCTCATACCTCTTTAACTATTTAAATTTTAAATATCTTATTTCAAATTTGGGCACTTCTCTACATTACTATTACACAGACCGTTTCTCTTCAACAGTTTAGGAGAAATATGAATCTTTGCCACACATTAGAAGTCCTGTCAGACATAAAATTGTATGCAAGTTAACTTATTTTCTAAAAGCAATAAGAAGTACATACTGTAAGTTTCTTCCATGTTGGAAATGAAGGAGCCGAATCCAAGTGCTGGGGAGGGGGAGAAAAAGCAGTGGTTCAGTGAATCAGAAATGAAATGTACGTAAAGGTGGCCCTAAGAGGTAGAGTCAAACTGGGATTGAAGCTACCCAAGTTCATTATGAGAAACCTTTAGTGTCCTCCTCCCTCACATATTTTTCCCCCTTTAAAGCATTCTTTGTTACTTTAAAGCATTTCAATATCATGGCTTAATTCACACTCTTGGAATAAATTATAGGGCTCCCAAATAGTTAAGAAAAACCACACTTGACTACTAACTTAAAATGTATTCAGGGGATGTCAGTCTACGTTAAGTGCCATTACAGTAGCCAATCACTGTTTACCATCTGTTCGGGTTTGATGCTATTTAACATTAGAGCAGGCAAATCAGACCACAAGAATACTGTTGTTTTAAAAAAAATACAGGATGGAAAGGCTGCCAGTCTTGCTCCCCTCTGACACTTGGGAATGCTGGAAGCCTGTCAGACAGTCTATACACTCAATCCCTCCCAGCGATGTTCTCCCTTACTGTTTCTATGACTTTCCTTAAACGTGATCAGGAAGTGCCACAGGTTTTCCACTGATGCTTTACCTCCCCTCGGTCCCCCCATCTCCTATGCTAAAACGAGCAGACGTGGTTATTTAATCTCTCCGGTTAACAGTCATTCCCTCTATGCTTTGAGGTAAAACTTCTGAATGTTAGGACTAAAGAACTTCCCATTTTATGGATAACAGACCCATAAAAGAACAGGTCTGCAACGGGAATGTGGGAGGTGAAAAGACAAGAATTGGTTTTGTAGTTTGAATTCTCTTCTCCTAGAGATCCCTCCTACTGAGCACTGTGATTAAATACACTTATCATTATGGGGGAAAACAACCTAAATTTATATAAAACCACCCCGTAAGAACCTCCTGCAAACTGGCTCGATTTACAGTTACTGCCTCTGGAGCCAGCTCTCCTTTGGCCTCTCCCACAATTCCACACCCCTTCCCCCCCATTCTATGACATAAGCAGCCTTGGAATCCACGAAAAGAAATACCAGTGACCAGCTGGAACCCTAGTTTAGTAATTGGCCGCAGAGCCCATCTGTTAATTACAACCATTAGTGAAACTGTCGTAAAAACACTTGTTATGTCTGGATTAAGAAATTCTGACCTTTCCTTCGACATGTTTTACTTGTACACGGTCACTCTATGCTTTTAAAATCAAAATAAAAGAGGTTTGGAAGGAAGAGCCAAGCATTATATTCCTGGATTTTAAGGCATTTAAAGGAATGACCAGCACGGGATTCAACAACCTGTAGGACGCCATCCTATCCTTTGGGGCAAAAAGACTAATTAGGGCAGGTCAAGGGCACTGGAATCCATGGCTCCTCGTCAGCCTTGTCCATTCAGGTGTCGTCCCCAGCAAACTGTCAACGGGACCTTCTATCTTTTCCCGGGTACGAGCCGCGCTGAAACGGGCCAATGACACCACGTAGTTCCAGTTTGGGGGTGAATGTAGCCGGAGGTAACCGGTTACACTCAACAGAGCTGGGGCTCGGTAACATCGTTTTTCTTTCTTTAAACAGAACATTCGGAGTAGATTTAAGCGACGGGACTGAACAGGGGAAGCGGGGAAGGTGGATAACTTGTTTAGACAAAGGACCTCGGGAGGCCCTCGAGGGGACGAAGCGGGGAACGGCCTGCAGTCGAACAGCTGCGCGGAGGCCCACCAGGCGAGGCCTGGGCGTGAAGGGGGGACAGCAGTTGGCGAGGCCCCGCCCCCTGAAGGTGCGTTGTTTGGGGGCCCGGAGCCAGGGCCGCGTCGTCGCCCCTACCTGAGTCAAGACGCGCTCTCCACACAGTCGCCTCCACCCCGCGCCCTAGCAACGCTCCCTTCCGGCGCCTGACGTTAGGGGTGGGGCCCACTTCCGGTGACGTAGGTCTCCGCTCTGGCTGGGGCTGCGGGTGCAGCCATTGTGTTCCTTGGTGCGCCCTCCTCTGGCCCTTCCTTCCTGTCTGCAGATCAGCCCCTCCCTTCAGGTTTTGGGCCCGGGAGGATGGCGGCCTTGCGTGGGTGGGACGCGCTCCTTCCCCGGCTTTGCGGTGCCATCTTAGGGAAAAGAACGAGGGCTTAGAAATGGGCCTTCCAGGAGGGAATGGGGCCGGTTAGAAGTGGGGTGCTGGTTGGAAAGAAGCCCTGTTTATGGACATTGTCTAGATAGAAAGGTAATTGAGATTTTGAGGGGCGAAATGAGGAACATTGTCAAGGCGATAAGCAGGCAGACCAGCCAAAAAACCCCAGTCACCAAGGACAGGAATCTAATTGATTTTGTTTGGCACAAGTTGCAGAACCTCAAAAGTCAGTAATAGTACCCGAGAATGCTTGGTAGGACGATGCCCTAGTCCAGTGGTTCTCAACCTTCTGGCCCTTTAAATACAGTTCCTCATGTTGTGACCCAACCATAAAATTATTTTCGTTGCTACTTCATAACTGTAATGTTGCTACTGTTATGAATCATAATGTAAATAGCTGATATGCAGGATGGTCTTAGGCGACCCCCGTGAAAGGGTGGTTCAACCGCCTAAGGGGTCGCGACCCACAGGTTGAGAACCGCTGCAAAGAGAGTTTCAGAGTTGAGAGAGCCCTGGCTGGTCTGGCTCAATGGGTAGAGCATCAGCCCGCAGACTGAAGGGTCCCGGGTTCATTCCCAGTCAGGGCACATGCCTGGGTTGCCGCTCAATCCCCAGCAGGGGGCCTGCAGGAGGCAGCTAATCTCTCTCATCATTGATGTTTCTATCTCCCCCTCTCTCTTCCTCTCTGAAATCAATAAAAATATATTTAAGAAAAAAAATTGGAGAGGTAAAGAGGGTCAGAAAGTTATAACTTGATAGTGGGAATCCAAGCATTTATATTCTGAGCCTTTGTTCTGGAATCTGATACAAAAAAAGTGTGAAAAGTTCTTGTCCCCAAGGTGGTTAGGCAAACAGGCCCAAAAGTGGGTGAAAGTTTAAATGGAAGTACAACAGATGCCAAGAAGTGGTCGAAACTATAAATCAGGGGTCCTCAAACTTTTTAAACAGGGGGCCAGTTCACTGTCCCTCAGACCGTTGGAGGGCCGGACTATAGTTTAAAAAAAAACTATGAACAAATTCCTATGCACACTGCACATACCTTATTTTGAAGTAAAAAAACAAAACGGGAACAAATACATTATTTGTATTTGCACGTGGCCCGCGGGCCGTAGTTTGAGGACCCCTGCTATAAATTCATATTAGGAAGAAATCAGTGGGGCCTAACGTGACCAGGGAAGGCTTTATGGCAGTGGTTCTCAACCTTGGCTGCACATTAGAATCACCTGGGAATCTTTTTTAAATCCTGATTTCTGGGCCTCCATACTCCGGAAATTCTGTTTCCTTTTGTTACTAAATGCTTGTGGCCCCAGAATTTCCAGAGGATGAGGCCCAGAAATCAGGATTTAAAAAGATTCCCAGGTGATTCTAATGTGCAGCCAAGGTTGAGAACCACTGCTTTATGGAGAAAAGGGACTTGTGGCCTTTGAAGATTAGACAGAAAAAAAAAGGAAAGTGTTGACACTGCAGGTAGATCTGGTGATGCTATTTTGCAAAACCAACAAGTAGAAGTGTGATATGACAGAAATTTGTGTATGGTCCGCGGTGTAGGTGGCAGTCTGGGAGATCAGTTTGAATGCTGAAGTATTGTATTTTTGGAACATTTACCTGGTTTATAGAGCTTAAATGTGACTTAGGAGAATCTGTCCTGACAGCAAGGAACTGAATATGGCTTCAGTGAAAAGGATCATGGAAGGGAGGCGTTTTATTTTTACATGAGTAATTTGTAAACAAATTATGAGTTTGTGTGTTTTTTTTTTAAATTATCAGCCCTTGGGCTGAAGAGAGTGTGCTCTACAGCCTTTGCTTCATATTAAGATCCTAAAAAGAAATGTGTTAGTGGAAGTTGGGCCCAAGCCATTCTTGTCAGCAGATGATTCTTAATCTTGCCTGTGCATTAGAATCTGGGGAGCTTTTAAGACATAGTATTCCAGTTTCCCATCCTGGACCAAGTAATCAGAAAGGGCTGGGCATAGCTATTTTTAAAAGGCTGCCCAGATTATTTCAATGTGCAGTTAATGCTGAAAACCACTGACCTCGGCACTGCTTTGAATTTACAAAAGCTATTCTTTCACCTGGGTGCCCAGGATGATTTCTATGAAGGAGAAGCAAGCTGTTAAAGTGCTTCTTAAAACATAATTGCTAAGAGTAAAAGCTTCATTTCAGGCTCAGCACAAAGCATTTTAGAAAAAGCTGCTGTTTTGGCAACTCAGTTTTAGATTGTTAGGAATATCTTAAAGTATTCTTTATGAAATCCTCAACCTCTGAATTTATCTCAACATCATTCATGCAGATTGGTGGGGCCAGTGTGATTTGAAGGGAAATATGATTTTTTTTAAGGCTTTAAATTGCAGTAAGCTGGTGAAAGTGTTGACACTGTTACTGTGACTCATAAGTACTTTTCATTCAGACACCTGCAGATCGAAATTTCTGAGGAAGAAAAAGCTAAGGGTTTGAGAGGATGGTGAGTGGGTGCCGAATCAGCATCTAAAGTCAGGCTTCACTGCATTCAGTAATGCCTTGTCCAGGTGACAGGATCCTCAACTGACACAGCTGTTCTATTTAGCACCAGTAAACAAGCCCACCAACTTAAAAAAATAAGCAAAAACCCGAACTGTCTTTCAGTAGAGATTTTAAAATAAAAACACACCACACATTTATTCTTTCTATTTTAAAATGCTTTGTTCATTTCTTTCCAACCCAGAAAGTTCCTGCTTTATCTGAGATCCCTGCTGAGCTTTTTCAGACTTCTTTCTTTTTTTTTTTTAAAGCCAGGTTGAATATCTTTGAAAAGGAAAATACAATGAGAGACGAAGGCATTTACACAGGGTCATTCTAGGAGCTAGCTGGGATTAATACCCTAAATTGAATCTCATCTGTGCTGGTTCTGTCTGGTGATATCTAATATTTTATTATATAGTAGAGGCCTGGTGCATAAAATTCATGCACTGGGAGGGTTGTCCCTCAGCTCAGCCTGCACTCTCTCCAATCTGGGACCCCTTGGGGGATGTCCGACTGCCAGTTTAGGCCCAATCCCGGCAGTTGGACATCCCTCTCACAGTCCAGGACTGGTCGCTCCCAACTGCTCGCCTGCCTGCCTGCCTGATTGCCCCTAACTGCTTCTGTCTGCCAGCCTGATCACCTCCTAACCACTCCCCTGCCAGCCTGATTGATGCCTAACTGCTCCCCTGCCAGCCCAATCACCCCCAACTGCCCTCCCCTGCAGGCCCGATCATCCCCAACTGCCCTCCCCTGCAGGCCTGGTTGCCCCCAACTGCCCTCCCCTGATGGCCTGGTCGCCCCCAACTGCCCTCCCCTGCCGGCCATCTTGTGATCACATGGGGGTGGCCATCTTGTGCAAGAGTGTGATGGTCAATTTGCATATTACCTCTTAATTATATATGATTATATAGTGTTATATTTTGGAATTAATAATTATTAAAAACAAACACTCTGGACTAACGAGTTAATGTACAGATCTCTAGTGATTGGAAAAAATATTTGTTAGAAAATCAGTTTTCTCAGCTTTTATTTTTATTTTTTTAATTTAAAAATTTTATTGTTTAAAGTATTACATGAATTTCCTTTTCCCCCCATTGGCCTATCTCTGGCCGCTCCCACTCCCCAGCACATGTCCTCACCCCCCTACTGTCTGTGTCCTTTGGTTATGCTCATATGCATGCATACAAGTCCTTTGGTTGATCTCTTACCCCCTCACCCTCCGCCTTCCCTCATAGGTTGGACAGTCTGTTCGATGCTTCTATGTCTCTGGGTCTGTTTTTTCTTTTTTTTTTTTCCTGCGGCAGGTTTATTTGTACAAACAGCACAGGAGGACACCAGCGCCACGCAGCGCCCAGGGGCCCCACCAGTCCTTTCGTCCTCACGTCGGCAGACAGAGGCCTCTACAGTGGAGCCTTCGTGGGGGCCTGGGCACCTTTGGGAGCGGGAGCCTGAACCCCTTTGAGCTGCAGCTGCACCCGCAGCCTGGGGCTTGGTTTCCGCCTTGGCCTTGGCCTTTGGCCGGCAGAGCCTGAGCCCCTTGGCAATGTGGGCACGAGCACTTTCCCAAGCTTGGGGTGAGCGATGTAGGCAAGACGACTGAGTTTGTGGCTGGAGCCCTTTGGGATGTTGGGCCTGGGCTCCTCGGGCTTGACCAGGGCCTTGATGGCCTCAGCACGTGCGCTCATGGCCTTGGCGTTGTTGGCCTGCATCTTCTTCAGGCCCTTCTTGTTGTGCTTCTTGGCAAAGCGCATGTTCCCTAGGAACTTGGGGTCTACCCCCTTAAGAGGTTCATATCTTTGTGATGGGGGTTTCTTGATGCCGTTCCTGTGCCATTTTCGTGACTGGTTGTGCGTGGTATGGTTCTTGGACTTGGCCATCTCTGCACCAAAGTCCGAGGCTCCGGAAGTGCCAGGGACCGGAAGAGAAAGAGGAGGCTGTGGTGCAGCACGGGAAATACCGTCGTCAAGGCTGGTAGGTACTACTCTCTGGTTTTGTTTGTGTTCATCAGTTGGTTGTTCATTCCACAAATGAGTGAGATCATGTGATATTTATCTTTCTCTGACTGGCTTATTTTGCTTAGCATAATGCTCTCCAGGTCCATCCATGCTGTTGCAAATTGTAAGAGTTCCTTCTTTTCTATAGCAGGTTAGTATTCCATTGTGTAGATGTACCACAGTTTTTTAATCCACTCATTTGCTGATGGACACTTAGGCTGTTTCCAAATCTTAGCTATTTGTGCT